TCCTCCAAAAATTTACAAAACTTGTCATGGATTACAAGCACTAGCATGTGTATGCCAACTATCACCACATTTTGAATGACAAACATTTTAAAAGATGACATTTAAAAAGATGATTCCGGAAATGTTTCAGAAATACTAATTTAAGAAAAACAGCATTTCAGCTAGCAATGCAAAAAAAAAAAAAATGGGGGGTGAGGTGTGATTTGCCTTTTTCAAATGATTTTTCAGATTCAGAACTAAATGAGGTGATTTATAAATAAGATAAAATGAGGACAAATCATATTGAATTCTCAAGTCTTTTCTCTCATTCGTATAAAAATCATACCCTGGCTATCAACATAGGCTTAGGGATGATTGATACTAAGAAAGAAAAGAAAGATAGATGCAAAAGCATTTGGAGGGAAGATAAAAGGGAGGAAATTATGAAGACCATAATTTTGCAGTATCTTTGTGAGATTTCACATGGGTTGTGTAATGGTCAATCAATCAATCAGAATAGAGTTGGAAGGGATCTTGGAAGTCTTCTAGTCCAACCCCCTACCATTTCAGACAAAGTGGCTGTCCAGTCTCTTCTTAAAAACCTCCAGTGCTGAAGCACTAATGGATACAACTTGCAGCAAAATGCTCTTTTGGCATTGGTTTGAAAGCATGCGATTGTCTGGATGGACGATAAGAATATAGGTGCTGTACTTTTCTTCCTTTCATATGATAATCTAGGTCTGTGCCTCCCATCTTTTAGTTGTCTGACTCTCCTCATGGAAATAGTATATAGCTGCCTAGAGTAGCTCCATGGGAAGACAGGTGGCAAATACATTTAACAAATAAATAAATAATAAATAAAAATTGGCTCACTATTCTTCAACAGATTCCCAAGGATATATTCCTTTGGAGTTGTTTGGAGGACTCCAATGCAAATAGCAATTCAAGGAATAAAAATTTGCCCTGGGACCACAATTCGGAGGGAATCAAGCCCCCACTTCAGAGCTCATTGTAGTAATTGGAAATGGTATTATATTCACACAAATTATTAGGCCATCTAGTCTAGTATTGTCTAAATTAATTGGCTGCAGTTCCCTGGAGCAACATCTTCCCTGTGACCTGTATTAATGATCTGGAAGCTATAATGATGTTGGTAGGAAGAAAAGCAAGAAAATGACATATCACAGGCTCTTCTATTCCCTTTTTGGGAATAGAAATAAGATTTTAGGTTTCAGTGTATTCCTGTGCCCTAAATTCAGTGATTTCTTTTCTTTTCTAGAACAGAGGATTCCAGAATAGAGTACAGAACAGAGGAATGTTTACAAATGACAGAATGAGGGAAAAATTAAGGTAACTTCTCCAGGATTTGGTAACCTGGCTCTAGAGCAGGGATCTTAAATTCAAACCACCAGGAATGCCACATGGGGATTACGGTAGTTCTTTGCCCAAGGACAACTAAAGTAAATGTAGAAGGATTGGTGCAGATTTTATGTATAAGATAATTTGCCTCTTTGGAATATGAGGCTGAAGAGTAACAGAAGGGCGACATTTCATTATTACACATACGACTTACAACCATTTGTTTAGTGACCGTTCAAACGTATAACGGTACTGAAAAGGTGATTTACGACGGTTTTCATACTTACAACCATTGTAAGGATTGCAGCATCCTCCTGGTCATATAATCAAAATTTGGTTGCTTGGCAACTGGCACGCAGTCTCCCAGGATCAGGTGATCACCATTCCTAACTTTCCCAGCCAGCTTCCGCCAAGCAAAGTCAATGGGGAGGGAAGCCAGATTCACTTAATGACTACATGATTCATTTAACAATTATAGTGATTCACTTAACAAACATGGCAAATAAGTTTGTAAAATGGGGTGCAAATTCACTTAACAACTATTTTGCTTACGAATGGAAATTTTAGGCTGAATTCTGGTCATAGGTCAAGGACTACCTGTATTCAGTAGCAGGGAGAAACCTTACATAGTAGACATACCCAACCTGGCGTTGAAGTCTTTCTTGAGAATATCAGATTGGAGGATGCTGGTCATATGGCTGAAACCTAGTATTTTGTTATATGGAATTATACAAAGGTTATGTTAAAATCCTATAAACTAAGATTCTCCAGCCAATAAATGGGGGACTGCAAATGTACACATGATTTTTATGAATGATGAAGTAATATCCATACGATAAAAGGCACTGCACTGGTGAGACAGCATCAAGGGAAACTAAAAGAAGCACAATGGTAGAACAAAAGCAAATCTACTGGAAGGTGGAACATGGATCATTAGAAATATGGTGAATAGCAGGAAATACAGTAGGTTCTGGCTGCTATTACAATATCATAATTAAAGAATTGACTGCTTCAGTGACCCAGAAATAATTCTGGTTAGACTGCAATTATAATGCAACCTTTGGACAACCCCAGGTTTGAAAATGAGGGTTAAATTAGCTGAACATTTAAAAAGATTGTGTTTAACAGGGAAATAACTTCAAGAAAATGTATTTTGATTTCAAGCTGTCTTGGAATTCTTTCGGGCTTTACCTCAGTCTTGTGTGTAACACGGATGATCATTGTTTTGAAAGTATTCTGAACAAGAACATGCCATGGACATTAAGAACAGACAGTATGATTGTGCCAGAGCAATTAAATTATTTCAACTATTGTTTCCATGTCATGTGAAACCTTCTAGAACAGATGTGGTCTATACATTGTCTTCCAGATGTCTTTAAATACAGTATTAGCCAATGATTATAAATGTTGGAAGTTTTAGTGGAAAACATCTGGACAGGATCAGGACAGATATCTTGAACCCACTATGGCTTACAATAAGATCCAAGATCCTCCCCTCCAAAACTCCCTCTCCAAAATATCTTCTGATACTGCCATGGTATCTCCAGAATAAGCAGTGCCAACTTTGTTTTTAGTTTTGGGGGGAGTTTGGATTTTAAGGTGAAAATAAATTATTGCATCACATTGGCTTAAAGCCTATACCCAGAATATCAGGTCTACTTTAGATCCTATTCCCATCTACTTTTAGGATATCTCTTTACAAACTATAGCAACTCCTAAGTTTACACATTTTAGTTCCCTTCTCTTCCATCCATAGGGACAGTAAGAGGATCTTTAAAGCAATTGCTTCCATGTAAATACTATAGGTTATCGTATTTGACATGACTAGTATTAATTCTGGCTGATTTTAAGCACGCCAACTGCACCTAGTCACAGATACAGTAAACACATGCATTCCAAAATAACTTAAACACAATACATGTAATACACATTGTCCAGTCTTTATGAGTGACTGGCCTACAAATGTGATTGTTAAATAGGCAAGAAGCTTGTCTGCCCTAAGGATAAAACATCCAGACACAAACCGAGCAATATGCAGTACAATACAGTGAGACAGGTGGAGATCTGTATATTGGGGAAACAAAACACTTCATAAACGCATCGCACAACATAGGAGAACAAACTCATAAGGACGAAATTCAGCTATTAAAAAACAAAGGCCACTCTTTTGAAGACAACACAGTCCATATTTTGGACAGAGAGGACTGGTGATTTGACAGACGGGTCAAAGAGGCCACCTATGTCAAAAGTGAACGGCCCTTGCTCAACAGAAGGGGAGAGATATAACATCATCTATCTTCAGTCTACAACACAGTCCTTTCAACAGTTCTAAGAAGACTCCACACCCATTTGCATTACTCAGGTGACCCTGAAGACACAGCTAAACCGCCAAGTGGCCTCAATGACTATCTCAAAGAATGCAAACGACCTGCTGTCTGCAAGGAGTATAAATCCTTCCATTCCCCACCATCCAGTCAGAGCTGAAGAAGCTTCTTGGATGAGAAGTGAAACATCTTCAAATAAAAACAAGAAAGTCCAGTTGCCTCTTGAAAAAGCACCTTTGGGACCACCATGACCTGGATGACTGAAAATCTCCATAGATATTTGTTAAATAAGCCTTAAAGTCACCATCAATGGATATCCTTAATACAATCCTTCTGCTTTTACCCAACTTTAATCATGTTTGTGGGTTGTCGTGTTATCATGACAATTTTTGTTGTTGCTGTTCAGAATAAAGATTGCCTTTGTCTAGAAAGGAGAAGAGATGGTTTGCCAGATCCAGCTTTGTGTAAGTTCCTGCAACCCAGAAGAACTGACTGCTGAGCATAATTTAGTGATGGGAATAATCCAGTCTAACCTATTTAAAAATCTGAAGCATGCTTAAAAAGAGAATCATTTGTAAACCTATACCATATGTGACTGGCATCACAATACTAGGGTTATCAAGCAGATGAATTGAGAAGTGGGGAGGACACCTGAATTTAATTTCCTGACCTTTGACTAAAGGCTGATCTTAATCAACTTAAACGAAAGACATTATATAGTGTACTGTATATAATAAATAGAAACTTTACCTATTGCGAGCTACGGGACCTAGATGCTGCATACTCTCAAAAAGCTAAGTTGGGTGGGTTTGTAGTTGGATGGGAGACCACTGTATTATTAGTAAAAATGATATGGATGTCTATGAAAGTAGACCCCACAATGAGGGTAAGTTTAGCATTTTACCTTCGGTATTTTATCTCTAGATAAAAATATATATTAAGAATATATAATTGCCAGTAGTGTCCAATGTGAATGGTAACTTGTCCTTGAATGCACTGTATGATTACTTATTCACAAATAACTAGCATGAGAGTCTGCTGTAATCCTGCATGGGAATAATAGAACTTTACATCCTTTTTGTATAATCGGCAATGACTAGCGAAATAAAATCCACAGGGACTCCTTTTTTTTTTTTTTTTTTTAAATTTCCTCTGCTGTTTTCCTATCTAAAACAGGAAAAACATTTCAGTGATTCTAACTGTGATTCAATTTTCATCAGAAAAATGCAAAAGCCTAAAGTTCATTTTGACCTTGTCTTGGAAAACTATTATAAATAAGATATATGCAATAAATGGGAGATTATTTGAACAGAGACAAACAACCACAAAAGGCATTACCTTGTCCAAAGAAAATGTTTTGGTGAGTGCAAATGACCATCCTGCTTCAAAAGCTCTGCGGATCATTGATGAACTTGTAGTTGGCGTTGCACTGGCGAGGCCAAAAGGATTTGAAAACCTAAGCCCAGCCATTTTTATGCTGATGTCTACCAAGTCAATTGATGTATAGAAAAGAGGCAACTGAGGTACAGCAGGTACTGAGGCACCATATAAAGACTGTGGGAATAAACAACACAACAGGTTATCCACTTTATTCAAATACAGCTTTATTCAAATACAGCTTCCTCAAATGAGTGGGTATCATCGTATTAAATATATCCTTTTAAAAATCCTTTTAAATAGTTAATAAAATGTTCTGGGCAGATTAAAATCCTCATTCTTAATAGGAGTATCAGGGTAATCTAGTGACCAAGCCTTTTGAGCAGTTTAAAATCTTGTCGAATATTAATAGAAAATTGGAACTGTAAAGATGTTTAAACTTCAAGAGCTTAAAGGCATACATTGCTGCATTTAAGCACCAGAAAGGAAAATGTTTTGACTATTTGGCAACCTTAATAGCCAGCCAGAATGTTCAACATGGAAGGGATTTGGGGACTATCATGATCCTCTTCATTTCTACACGGAATGAATAGAATAGAAAATATTCTATTGCACTTTAGGCGGGAAATAATTCTGTTTTCTCTTTTAAAAATGTGCACATTTATAAGAATAAGATATGTTTTCCTTCTCTTTTACTTTTTTTTTAAAAAAATAGGTGCATATAGACATTTTAAACGCAAACATTTCCATGTGTTCTGTAAAATATTTCAGTGGAATTAAACTTCTTGAGAGTTTAATAAATAATCTCTAGAATGAAAGATGAGCCCAATTTCTGGATTTTTACTTATATACAAAACCAGCAAAAATCACAAAAGAAAAAAAAATCTGCAAAAGATATAAACCTAACATTTATAGGCAAATTTTGCATCCACTAATTTGTACCATTATTTTATAATGATAAAGAAAACGGTATAGCTACATACACAAACAATGAAAACAAAGCAAAGCATTTTTCTACCTGGTAGCTAATGAATCTATATTGCTGCAGGAATCAAGTTTTTGCTCATGTGGATAATCTCTACGAGATAGATGTGTAGACTGCAGTGCAGAAGAGCCCTCACCACAATGTAACCCAGTGTTCATATTTTGTTATTATTGTACTATTCCAAATTCTGAATTTTTCACTTTCATCATATAAAATTCCAGAATAATCTCCAATTGCCTTTTCCAGTTCTGTTTTGTTTTTTTGCTGCCATTAATAGCAATCTGCCTCACCTTGCACAGTAATTCCTATAAAAATGTCTTCAGATATTATATTATACATATATAGAGCTCCCACCAGGTACACACTATATTGGTATAACAGGGGTCAAATGACAGCATATATTAGGACTTTTCCTCACAGTTACATTAAAATGCAGTGCACATTTCTTAAGGTTGCACAAAAGTTTGGCCTCGGTAATGAGGGGAGAGATGCTGGCTCTAAAAATTTAATGTGGAATAAGTAAAGTGATTAATGGATTCATTGACTTATATTTCTCTCCCACCAAATGTCATCAACCATCAAGAAAGCATCCACCAGTCTCTCTCAACAACATGGGGTAGAGATGGGCATGGATCTGGCGAAGGCAAATTTTAACAATTTCCCTGGTTTTATACAAGAGTTCTGCATAGATGCATTCAAAAACAGCTTTTTGACATTCGCTCCATTCTATTTTAGAACAATACTTTTCTGGAACAGCACTATTCTGGAGTAGGCTTAAACCCATATTTAAAAATAAATCCAAACTGGGTAACAAGTTGATAAATTTCTCTCTATACTAAGCAACAGTCTCCTGGATCTGCCAGCTGCCTATTGGGAGCAGTAGCCAGGGGAAGAGTTGATTCTTTACCTACCAGGTCTCTGTTCCCATGGAGCAGTTCTCTTAGATTTTCCCATGTTAGGACTAGGAAGAATTTATTCATTCCCTATTAAATGAGCTTAGGTTCAACTTCAATACTTAACATATTAGTTTGCATAATAAAAGCATTCAGCTTCCAGTCAGTGGTTTGCACCATACTTTAACTGTAACTCCAACAATAGCCAAATTTGTGTTGAGAAAAGAGGGAGAATGCTACTTTAAAACTGGACCAGTTGCCTTCTATGAAGATATGTTCTTTTTAAATTATTAGTGGTCCATCTTTGTGACATCGTTAGAGGACATGAAGAAGTCTTCGGTTTTAGATAGATAAGATTCCTTCCTAAACATTCAGGCATATCCCCCTTCAACAAAGCAAGTGAGACTCAGAAACTATATTACTATATCACAACTGGCAGTGAGCCAAAGAGAAAACTATAGTATTCCTCCATAGCTATAATTTCTTCTAGAGGTCATTCTAGAGCAGGGGTGTCAAACTTGCAACATCACGTGACGTGTCACAACGTATTGCAACTTTTTTGCCATTGTCGGCAATGGGGTGGGTGCGGTTTTGCTATGATGCATCCGGCCCGTGGGCCGGCAGTTTGACACCCCTATTCTAGAGATATCTTTAGCTTAGCCATTTATATTCAATTAAATCATATCCTTCTAAATGTTCATTACTTACTCAACTTTGAACCAAGCTTTTAGTGTAATGAAAAGTGATGAAGATCCAAACCACTTCCTACTTCTACTTCGGGCTAACATGGCTGACTATATGCAATGATTGGCTCCTATTTATTTATTTTCATATTTCTTTGATATTTCTAATGAAAGTAACTTTATTTATAGACACTAATTAGAACAATAATAAAATAGTCAGTATCTAACAGCAAATTACAACATGCAATATAACGCAGCAGCAGCACAGCAAGCCAAATCCGGTTAAAAGCGTATTAAAGTTCAGTGAAAGGATATTTATAGTTTTTTTGAAAAATAAGCAGTGATGGTTCACAGCAACCTATCTCAGGCTTGGATATAACAATCAAAGAAACTGTGGCATCTAATAGAAACGATGCATATAAAAAAGTAACAGAAGTGACGTGGTGTATTCTAGAAGGTTCGTATGTGAGAGAAAAGAGTTGTGCCTTTTTAATAGGGCACACTACTCTCTGATCACATAAGATCAGCAAATGAATACTGACAGTAGCAAGAAAGAGAATAAGTAACTGTTTCCATCTGATTAATTACTAGGATTGTTGCCTGGTAAATGAATAGCAGACAAAAAGAAATCTATTAATGAGGGATCAGTGAAAGAGAAGGCTACATATTGAGAGTAGTTCGACCTGTGGTTTTCGAAGACTAAAGTTTGTACATTTTCTCTGTGATATCAGTTTTCTATATGTAGATTATAAAATACAAGAATCTCAACCTACAACAGAGTGTTGGAGAATAGAAAGTTGAAATTTCTCCCTCACTTCATTCTATTAATTTCTGGATTCTTGAGAATGGGAATGGATTCCAACATGGATTCCTTTGAATTGGGTGACTTGAGAAACCATGTTTCACAATCACATCTACCCATCCCATTAGCTACTGCAGGATGGGCATGTTGAGGGTCTTGTCCATGAAGGAATGTCATCTGATGGGACCTAGGAGTAGACCCTTTTCTATAGCAACATCAGCCCTCTGGAACATCATCCTCCTGAGGTGTAATTTGCCTCAGCTTTGCAGATTTTCTGGAAGGACCTGAAGAAACTGCTTTGCCGTTTGGCCTGGGGATCAAGCAATGTGGTGATGGAGCTTGCAAAGTGGCTACATTGCTGAGGAAATCGAGTATGCCTTGTTACAGATAATGAGAATTTTATGGTTTTTAATGTTTGTTTAAAGATTTTTTTTGTTATGTTTGGAGTAATGTTTTGTATTGATTTGTGTTTTTAACTCTGAGTGACATATACGAGATGGGCGTCTATATAAATTTATCAAATAAATAAATGAACAGGTGAATTTATGGTGCCTTCCTCTTACATGTGAGTACTGCAATTTTGGTATAAATACAGGGACACATATACTCTAAACATCAGAAATAAAAGGAATATCACTTCACAATTCATTTACCAAAATTCCTGGCAAAAAATTAGAATAAACACGTCTACTCCTTATTTACACTTGCTCATTGTTATTGGAAATATACTAAATGGTATGATGTTCAAATGTATTTACCTTCTACATCTTCAAAAAATTACGTGTTTCATCAATACCCTTTTTTCTGTAGGAGTTTACAGCACATATAACAATATTTCTCTGAACTTCTATACCTAGTTAACCAACTTTTTTAAATGTGTCATTCCAACAGATGTTTTTCTTTTTTTCTTCATACCTTCACAGCTCCCCTTACTCTATTATTTATTATTTAATTCTGTAATTGCATTATTTACAGTCAGTCAGCGATGCATATTATATGAAAGTCCTATTCAAATTAAAATTGTATTACACAGCAATATATTATGCTGTGGCTCTGAATTCCTCAAGTGACTGAGGAACATATTCTAAGAGATATACATATTTTGCCTTACAGAAGTAAAACAAACAAACTGGGATGTCTAAAGGGAAGTTATTACTATTTCCTTTCCTTCCCTACCATAATTTATGTTCAAATTATTTCTGAAATATTTGAAAGAAACAACTTCTGGCAAACCATACAAAAAAAGTTCATCTATTATTTGTCAAAAAAGAGTATTTTATGTAATGTAACATTAACAGTCTGCTATTAAAGTATGCTAAGGTGCATCTTACATCTTGAGCAAGAGTTTCAGCATCTCACCTACCAGTTACTTAAGAGTTTAATCCAGCCATCTTTCAAAACCTGCTTCAAAAGGCCAAAAAATCATACATTTTGAAGTTTCCTCAACACAGTACTATTTTTTTTTTTGCCAAATCAAATATCAAAGTACTTCAGACTAATTTCTCCTCAAACATTACATCACAGACTTGAATTAAATCATGTCTTCCTTGAATATAAAGCCTCCAATTCAAATTGAATCAGGACTGATTTGGGTAAACCTAGTTAAAATGGGTTAGCCAAAATCATTTGTTACTGAAGAATATATAAGTACCAGTCTTTTGAATACAATATACATACATACATACATACATACACACACACACACACACACACACAGATGAAAAAGAAAAACTGAGATGTTATCCCTACTCAAAATAAAATAAAATAAAATAAAAATTACCACCCTATGGTGACCTGCCTTTAAATTACAGCTG